GGCAACAGATCAGCTGATCCCATGAAGCTGGGAAAGCAGGAAATTAATCTTAGATTTGGAAAACAGGGAACACGATATGAGCCTGTGTGTTAAATGCAAAGACTCCAGTTTGGGCAGTATGGAGATGAGTCAATCAATTAAGACAAAAATGGAACATTCTCTGCCACCAACAAACTTATATTCTAGAGATCTGGATGACAAAAGGAATTCCCTGGTTATTAAGGAGACAGTGGGGAATTGGTTAGTTATCTAGAGACCTCTGGAGTACAGCTGTATCTGGCCCATCTAAGACTGTATTTTTTGGGTTTACTTAAACACTCTGGTCCCTTGATCCAACGATTCAGGCAACATTACTAACATTTCAGTGAAAGATCTGGACATTTTAACTCCTTAGGGTTAGCCTTAGAATACTGCACCTGAAACCATTTCCACGATTCTACCATCACGGCAGGAGATTAATTTCACAGCGCAATCAATCAACCAACAAGTATTTACTAATCGCCTACTACATGCCAGGTACTGTGCTAGGTGTTGGAAATACCACCACGAAGAATGAAACGACCTCTACTCACAAGAAGCTTACATTCTAAATCTGAGTGGGATGGGTGTTAAGGTCAGTTACAGGGACAGCAAAGATCAAAGAGGTCATCCACAGAGAGCTGAGTGATGTAGAAACCTTGTTGGAAAGAACCTTTAAAGTCAAGTCTCCACCTTGGGTGCACCAATCAGTAAGTGAACAAGCATTTATCATGCACCTACTATGTACTAGGTGCTGGAGATAAAAAGATAAATATAAGGCCTCCAGAAGAGGGGGCAGGGCAACACAATTATATATCTACATCTTTATGTATGTCTACACACACATAAATATAAAAGATTAAAATATGCGTGTGTGTATATTTGTGTGGGTGTATATAATTACAAATACCTGTGTGCACACACATATATACACACATACATACATACATACATACATACACTAACACACAAACTAGCTGGGGTATTGGGGAAGGTTTCATGTAGGAGGCTGATGTCGATTTGAGCTTTGAGAGCAGCTCTGAATTTTCAGAGTAGGAAGTGAGGAAGGAGGACAATTGGGCACAGGAATAGCCTATGCCAAGACACAAAACATAAAAGAGATGAAATGTCATGTGTGAGGTATGGCAAGAAAGCCAGTTGGGTTGGACCACAAAGGAGCATTTTCCAGGTATAGAAAGATAAGCTGGAGCTAGTGTGAAGGCAAGACCAGACCCTGATAAGAAATGAGCATCACTGTAACATTCAGAACCACTCAGCTCTCTGAGGAACGAGCAGAGGGAAAAAGCTTCATTTGTTGGTTTGTTTTAAAAGTTCAGAGAATGCTAGATAGAACAAAATCATTGAGAAAAGCCATCGGAACAATATTCTATGTCAACCCACCAATAAAGCAGAAAATAATGAACCAAGAGATGCTCAGTTTTGTTAGCGAAGGAAGGATCTTTGCAAATGTGAGTTGATTCCCCTGGGAACACATGGAAAATCAGGAGAAGAAAAGTGCAGAACAGGCCTTCAGAAGAAAATATTAGAAGGAGAGATTGAGCTAAGAAAATGAGATTTCCCTCCCTCCTATATGCTACCTGTTAGTTTCATAGGCATGTTCCAGGGTAATGGCAGCTAGCTGTCAGGTAGTAGGAAGGACCTGGAACATAAGTGGTAGATGGATGAAGGGGAGAGTGTGTAATCGTGATATAAGTAGTCCACAGGGTATGGCTTAAAGGCACATGTGCTAGAGAGAAATCAGTAATAAATGGGAGCCCATGGAGTAACAGAATCTGTGGCATATAAACGGAAATCCGTGAGGAACAGGCCAGATTTATCCAACACCCACGTGACACATGCCAGTATGGAGAGGATGAGCTAAGACTAGACAGACCCCTGAATTTTGAGTCCGGGGATCTTGGTTTAAACCTTGATTTTTTAGACTTCAGATAAAAATAACAATAATAAAATTAATTTGGTGGAACAAAATATTTATAACCTTAAATGAAGTAATTTTTAAAAGTAGGAATGAAGGGGAAATAACATGTTCAGATCTCAAATTATTCTATAAATAAAAACCATCAAATTATACTATAAATAAAAACCATACAAATCGTTTGGTAGCTAGGTGGCACAGACGACAGAGCACTGGACCTGGAGTGAAGAAGAATCTACTTCAAATTCAATTTCAAACCCTTACTAGCTATGGGAGCCTGGGCAAATCACTAAGCCTCTATCTGCCTCCGTTTCTTCAACTGTAAAAGGGGGCAAATTGCACCTAGTTCTCAGGACTGCTGTGAAGATCAAATGAGATCATTGTAAAGCACCTAGCCTGGCTAAATGATTATCGTAGCATCTTTGTGATAGTTCGCAAAGTCTACAAAACATAGTAACTATTTAATAAATGCTTATTTCTTTCCTTTCCTCCTCCCCCACAAACCCACAATTCCCATCTCCCCAGTTTATACCATTCTTCTTGGTTCCTTATTTTCTACCCCAGATGTCTATTTCTACCTGCACAGCAAGTTTCCCATCTCATCTAAACCCTTCTCTCTATTCACACAGCCACCTTAGCTCAGATCTGAATTATTGCAACTATGTAACTGGTCTTCCTGCCTCAAGTCTCCCTACTACAAGCCATCCTACACACATTGCCAAAGTAATTTTCCTTAAATGCAGATATGCCCACGTAATCCTCTTAACTCAATTAACTCCACTGGCTTCCTACTGCCTTTAGGATCAAATTTAAACTCCTTCTGTTTAGTCCTTCACAGCTTGGCCAGAACCTCTCTTCCCAAGTTCCTCTTCTCACACACTCTGCAATCCAGCCAACTTGGCCTTTTCTCTGTTCCTCAACTGCAAACTTGAAAGTTCTATACATAAATATTAGCTATCATTACATCATTATTTCTTGTATTATTATTATTATCATCATCATTAATATTATCATGTCAATTGGATGCAGTCTGTTGCTCAGCAAATGTATTCTAGCTCATCTTTGGCTACCTATCACATCCCCTGTAGGGTCAGCTCTAAACCTCAAGTTTCTGCGCACAGCCTGGCTTCAAGATAGAAATCTTTCTCTGCTCCTCTCCATCTGCCCTCAAAACACGGATCTTCACTTATTATCTCCTTCTTTCCTCTGAGGAAATGGCAGCTCTCCTCCCCCAAATCAATATCTTCCCCTTTATTAGTACTCCTTGATATCCTCTTTCCCAACTCTCTTAAGACCTATCTTGCTTGTATGGAAAATCTCTTCATGTTTTTTTTTAATCTTTACTCTTCTCTCCTGTATTACTCCCCTCCTTCTACAAAGACCCTCAAGGCTTTTTATCTATGTTTCCAGACTTTCCTCTACTTTATTCCCTCCTCAAAGTACTGTCCCACGCCTCTTTCATTGCCAAACATTTTTAATGAGTAGATATGCCTGCTTGCTTTCATTTTCTCATCATCAACTCATTTGTCAGCATGGAAACTAGAAAAAGGCAAGGAGGCCTCTTGCTTATGGCACACAAAAAGAAATGAAAGGGCAATTTTAGTACTACTGTTAAAAATAAATGTGCATATTTATGTTGTCAGAAAGTTTTGCTGTCCATGGTATACAGAGAGTTATTCTGGGGGAAATGTGTTACAGTATAAAGTGAAAGAGGCAAATGAACTGTGTAACTCACAGGAAATTCAGCCTACAAATCTTACTCAGGACATATATAACATGAATCACTCTCCTTCAACCTCGTGCAATCTAGTGTCCATTCCCACCACCATACAGAAAGTAGTTATCAATGCCCTCCTAATTCTTACATTCAATATTCCTCTCCTCATCCAGTCAAAGTGAAACCACTTTGGACACACACTGTGCTCCCCTATCTCTGAGCCTGTGTTCTGGCAGCTGGTTACCTGGGCCTGTAATACTCTCCTTTGGTCCCTCTACCTCTGTCTACTGATATCCTACCCATCCTTCAGGTTTTAGCTCAAAAATCACTTCTGCAATGAAGCCTTCCCTGATATCCCAAACTTCATTTGATTTCATAGACTTCTGTACTCTTCTTCTGTCTTCCTCTCAAATACACATCCCATTCTAATTTTCATTACATTCATGTGTGTGCGCGCGTGTGTATATGTGTGTGTGTGTCCATGTGCAAGTGCCTTACCCAGCCTATACTGTAAGCTCCTTGAGGCCAAGGACTGTGTCTTATCTATCCTTGTATTTCATCCCTGTGCTTACTCCAGCACACTGCACACAAAAAGACCTTGAAAAATGTGTGTTGGATCAATTAATGTCTTGATTCTTAAGTTCCTCGTATTTGGGTTGTTATTCACAAATGGACAGTAATACACAAAGAAAAAAAATTTAAAAGCTAGCTATCCTTGTTCATTTCAAAGGTTTTCCTTCTATTTATGGCCAGCAACGTAAACAGATTTTTGTACAGGCAATTCTATCGATGATTCTCAAATGTTCATTTTTAACACTAAAAAGGATGAATGATAACCTAACCCGGTTTTGTTTTCCTTCTAATGCTCTGACGTTAGATTTTCAAACAGTCTGTCCAATTTTAAATAGGTTACTGAAACAGAGGATGTAAAATGAAATATGATTTCATTTTATGGGCTTAATCAATAATTTAGCACTTACTGAGCACCCACAACACACTAGGTGTTATACAGTCCTTGTCCTCCAGGAGCTTAGTCCCCCGAGTTACGTAAAGTTAACAAAATTATTTCCCTTGGATGTGAACAGGTTTACTCAGTGTTTGCCAAAGTGACTAACCCTACAGTGTTGCCAACAATGGCATAATAGATTGTCATCATTTCCCAAACATCATTCCCCCCAAATAACCAGCTATGTCTGGGCACCCTAGCTAGCCTCAAGAATTTTTCTAAATACAGTGCTGCTCCATGAAGTATATAAACACACAGAAGCTCATCAGAGTTTCTTGATTTCTATTTGGTAACAGTAGAAAATAATTCTTCATGTAACTTACCCGGGTGATTTCATTACAAACTCCTTCATCTGTGAAGGAAAAAAATAATAATTAGAAACTCCAAGCAGGTCATGAGGTACCATGATATTCCATAACATCTTCCTCTTACTGAATCTGAGAATTTGGTTTTTAAATATGTGTGTTCTAATATTTAAAGACTAAACATAAATTAGGTACAAATATATGTATGTTTATATATGTATGTATGCTTATTTTGTATTGAATCTGAACTCTAAGTCTCTGGCTTAGAACTTGTTCTAGTTGTAGACTGGCATCAGACAGGCACAGCTCTCATTTAAGTGATTACCACTCTTTACTGAATAGAGTTTAGGGTAAAGTTGAAAAGTAATATGAATGAAAGTAGAGGGGATGAGCACAGGGCTTACCTGTCAGAGGCATAAAGGAGGGTAGGGAAAAGGGGAAAACTTTCTGGAAAACCTGGACAGTGGCTCTAGTCTGGGTAAAGTGCTGTCGGAGGGTCTAAGTGGCCTCTCTTTATACTAGGCGGGTAGACAAGGTTTGTGAACTTAGATGAAGATTCTTGGAGAGAACTAAATAAAATCTGCTACCTCCTTTCTGCAAAATCATGGCTCAGGTAGGCTTGGATAATGTTTTCTGTTCTGCCCTTCTAAGTGGGGAAGAGAGCCCCCAGCGACAGAATGGAATTGGGCTGTAGGATTCACTTTCTAGGTGCTGCTTCTATCTTTATCTTAAGGTACTTAACATTCAAAGGCCTTGCCTGAAAGCCTCCTCCACTAACATTATCTTTTTATCAATCAACTATTACTCATTATTTTCCTTAAAAAAAAAAATACTTCATTCAGTCATGGTTAATCAAAAACCCCTTTGCAGGCATGCATGCTGTCCAACCTAGCCCAAGTACCAGCCAGTTCAAATTCATCAACACAGTGTTCTTATGTGGATCCAACGATAAGTGTTGCACGCTGGATTTTTATTTCTTTTGCTTTGATAGATTTGGTTTTTGCCTAGACCAGTTTAGTTGTTTAATAATAGTTCAGTCATGTTAAAGGCCTATTCGTCTCTTAATTCTTTATTATATAAATAGCTGATCCACACACAGTCTAGCAAGGAAGATGGGGATTCCACTAAGACTATGTAGCAGAGTTCTACATTCAAAAGCTTCTAATAAATAAATAAAAATGACTTTCAATCTAGAAATAGAGAAGAACCTCTTCTTCATGTGCTTCCTTTAGGACATCTGGAATAATTTGGTGTCAGTCAACCATAATTAAGAGATCGATTTGCAAAAACACTTGGCTTCTATATTAAATTAATAAAACACTGCTCCTGACATGCTGTGGGGTCCAAAAACATTCTATAATGTGATTCTTCTCTATTCATTTCACCTAAGACTAAGTTACCATTAGTTAATGGGGGTTATATTGAAAGCTTAATTCTCATTAGCATTTTCTGGCATTCATTTTTCAGAGATTTAAATTTCTTCAAAGGAATCAACAGCCTTATTAGAGTGTTTCTGTATCTATTACAGAAGTGTTATATCTGTTCAACAATACAGTTTAGAGATTTCTGAAATGACCCTATGAAATCACCTTTTATGTGGAGTCCATGATGAAGCATCCCAATGCTACCAACTTTAAAAAATATCCCAAAATAAGATTCTTGTCAGGATCTGAGTTTAAAGACCTGAGGATCCTTGAAGGCTGTAAAAATGGAAAGTGCACTTTGAAAGGAGTTTCAGAAATGCTTGTCACTTGACAATTTGTACAAAAATCTGTTCCATCATACAATCCCCATCTGGTTTCCCCGTAAGGGTGACCCACCTCTCTGAGGTACCTGCACTTCTTCTCACTGAATTCAGCTGTCTCTCTGTATCCTTTTTATGGTGATATAAGTTAGGACTCAGATGACTAACTACATCCTCATCTATTTCTTTGGATCAAACAATTAATTTCTACCATGTCCCCTGTACCTGGCAGTATGCTCCATTCTCCCGGTACCAATAGGTTACTAAATTCGGTTCTTTTGAAGATTTGCTATCGTTTGTGGTACAGTGAGTGGCAACATGGTGTAGTGGGGAAAGCACTGGACCTGAGTTTCAGTTACTGCTCTCTCATTTAGTAGTCACATGATGATGGACCAATCACCCAACTTCTATGAATCTCAGTTTCCTCATTGGTAAAACTACACTCACTACCAGGGTTGCTGTGGAAGAAGTACTTACTATTAAGTAATGCCTGAAAATTCTATAGAAAACTGAACGACTACTTCTACTATGCTTTCTGCATCCCTTTCCCAGGCGGTGGCACTCTTTCCTTGTATAAACTGATCTCATCATATGGGTAGCTTAGATGAATAACGTGGACCTAGATTAGGAATGAGAAAGGGGCTAAGGAGTTTAGACTTTTTTCTATAGGCAGTAATAGGCCATTAAAGGTTATTAAGCAGAGACAAGACACTGAGGAAATAAGTGTTTTTAGGATAACTACCCTAGTAGGACTTTGTTTAAAAAAAAAAGGCATTAGAGAAAAATACGAAGCCAGGCGAGCAATTAGGAAATTACTGCACTCCTGTTCCTCAGAGCCTAACAAAGTACTAAACCTAAGCACGTAACAGTCATTCAATAGCTTCTAGAGAGTAGGAATTGTTTCATTCTTTGTATTTATGTCCCCAAAACCCTACAAAATGCCAAGTAAAGTAGTAGACACTTAATAAATACTTGATTAAATGAGTGAATGAATATAAAATGTGAAACCTAAACAATTTTTTTAAAGATGTGCAAATAGATGAAAAATATCTCTTGAACTGGTTTCATGGGTTTGTAGCACATTTATAGGATTCTCAATTTTGCCAAATGATTATAATCCCTTAGTCATTTTACTGAATCAAAATTAACCATCATTTACAAATATTATAGTTTTGTTGCCCATCTACTGGACTTTAGGTATCAAAAATCACAGGATCATAGATGTAGAGGTGGAAAGGACCTCAAAGGTTCTCTCATACAAGCCTTCATTTTAAAGATGAGTTCAGTAAGGCCCAGAGAGGTTAACAGGCTTGCCCAAAGTCACATGGAAACTAAGAAGGATACTGAGATTTTCCAGGACTCTGACCAGCACCATGAACCGCGATGCATATTTTCTGTAACACAGCCAAGAAGATAAGGCTGCGTTTTACAAATCATGTCATAGAACAGAAAAACAAATCCTTTCCTATGATTAGTTTTTCTTATAGAATAATGATCTTACAGTGACCTGTTGAGTCACACTTTTATTGAATTGCTTCACTTACTTTACATCACAAAATATAGACACAAAGGGAGAGTGCACAATCTATTCATGAAGTCTAAGTTTCAACAACTGAACAAAGATGGCTTATACAGACTTACTGAGGACTACAGGTGCAATAATCTGCACAGAATATCAAATTATTTGCAAAGTATTTCATACATATTTAGTTTGCAGGTCATACTTTACAAAGCATGCAACATGTACTCTTTGTACTGGAAGGCATTTGCATTTTCCCCTCTTAAAAGACATCAGAGACAATTTTAAAATAAACAAACTAATAGGATTCTGATTCACAAAAAGGACTAGCTGTAAAGTCCTGACCTGGTTAGAACAGTGACTTTACCACACTTATCATGCACTACCCACTCCTGTGAACTGGCACAAGTCACTTCATCTCAATGTATCCTCATTTATTAAGATGAAAAAATTGGACCAGATAATCCCTGCAGGTCACATATTGATTTAGAAAAATCACATATAGAAAAAACACATATCTACATTCTATTGTACTTTATTTATTTTATTAAATATTTCCCCCAATTACATTTTATTTTGGAGCTGTAGAGTGTTACTAACCATTATCTGACACCTTTGGATTGTAGCGTTTTTTAAAAAGGTACTTTGAGACACTCTTGTTCACTTTTTTTCTGTTTAGAAGTTAATTTTCCATGAACATTTTCGGTTTTGAATGTTCATGTGAACAAAAGCTTACAAGTTATGACTTTTTGGATTAGTATGTTGCTCATAAGATCAAACAACTAGACTTGAAATCTATAAGAAATACTCAAAGAAATCTGTGAGAAATCTTTCTAGGCCAGGGCAAAGAGGAAATTATATTGAATATTGAATTTTCTTCCTATTTCTTCTTTTATGTCATTCTCTACAGTGTAAGTAAAAAAACTATAAATTATTACCAGAAAAGAAATGAATTCAGTATCATAAAGAAAACCCTGGAAGTAGCCATATGGCACAGTGGACAGAGCATGGGCTTGGAGTCAAGAAGACCTGAGTTCAAACCTAGCCTCAGACACTTACTAGCTATGTAACCTTGGGCAAGTCACTTAACCTGCTTGCTTCAGTTTCCTCATCTGTAAAACAAGCTGGAGAAAGAAATGGCAAACCAGTCCAGTGATCTTTGCCAAGAAAACCCCAAATGGGGTCGCAAAGAATGGGACACAACTGAAACAACTGAACAAAAATAAAATTCTATGCCCAGTAATGTATTTCCAAGGTCCTTCACTTCAATTTGCTGGTATTAAGACTAGGTCTCAGGATTAATTGTAAATTGAAAGGTAAATGAGCTAATCTAAAACTTCGAATGCTTTCTCAGCATTAACATTTCCTTTTATGATATTTCTTCAAGTGAAAAATAACAACTACATCACTCTTAATATGAATGATAATATAAACCTAGCCTTCAAAACGCAACTTCTTTTAAGTTCCCTGGAGATGGAAAAATCACCTCCTGCTTCCTAATATTCTCTGGGGCATGCAAGATTCCATAAAAGTAGCAAACTAGGGTTAGTTATTACCACTTCAGTTAAGATTGTAGTAAGAGTATTTAATTTTCAATATTTAAATTTATAATGTTTCTTTTTCTTTTCTCTATGGTGTATTTAAATTTTAGTATTTAAGTCTAAAATTTAAAAAAAAAAGACTACACTGAGCATGGCCTTGAATAAAATATAAATTTGAGAACTTAGGAACAGGATTTTTTTCCTGAATTGATTCATCCATTTTTTTAATTTGCAATGCTCTAA